TACTCCTATCCCCTGCAGACGTCTTCCAGAGATCCTGGGGATGAACACCGGGCAGATCTCCAAATAACAGGCTCTTTTGTGCCATCTGGTAAACTATGTGGGCCAACAACCAACCCAGCCACAGCAGATCAGTCAGTGCCAGTGCGAGAACCAGCTTTCTGATCTGGGAAACACGTTTGACCACTGCTCTGCCCTCTCTCTCCTGTTCATCCCGGGTCTATAGCAGTGGGTTGGTCTGGGGTCCTGAGGACCATGTGAATGTGACTGTCTCTCATACATGCATACAACAATAAGTCTTTCTGCTTCCAGCCACAGGGGTCAGCCACAAAATCCTTTCCCTCTGTATTTCTCTCACGCTTCCTGCTGCCTTTTGTTGTATTTTTGTCCTTCAGATCTGTCTTTAGTGTTCATTTTTGTGAGATTTTATTAGCATAAAAACATAACAGAGCTATAGGGAGGGTGGGAGGGAGACGCAGGAGGGAGGGGATGGGGGATATATGTATACATATAGCTGATTCACTTTGTTATACAGCAGCAACTAACACAACATTGTAAAGCAATTATACTCCAAAAAAATGTTAAAAAAAGTCAATATAATTTTTAAAAAAACGTATAACTTCACGGATAATTAAAGAAATGCTAATCAAAATAATAAGATACCCTTTTTTCTAAACTGTCAAATATTAGAAATATATATGTTAGAAATATATATACTGTATATATACAATATATATAAAATATATATATACCCAGTGTTGGTAAGGGTGTGATGAAATAAATGTAATCATACTCAGTTGCTGAAAGTATAAGTGGAAATAATCTTCCTAAAGGCTACAAGTATTAAGGACCTAAAAAGTAGACAGAAACTTCACTTCTAGGAACTAATTGGAATTGGACATAAGTGGGAATGAAATGCAAAGATTTATGTACTAGAACATTCACTATAATGTTATTGTTCTCAACAATGAGGGATTGGTTACATAAATTATAGCACATCCATCTGAATAAAAAAACATAGCCATTAAAATTGTTTTTGAAAAATAGTGACATGGAAAAATGTTCATGATACACTATAAAGTGAAAAAAGAAACATGTCTGATTATATATAAAACATAATCATCACTTGGTAAAAATATGTGTTTTATTTATTCACATATTTATATACATCCTAAAAACTCTTAAGACTAGAGGAAATCTATTAAAATCATAATGATGTGTTAAGAAAAACTATCCAAGGCTTGGAAAAAAGAATGACTGTATGTCCTTTCCATGTCATATCAAAACAGTCTAGCAGAGCCGCTCAGTGATTATCTGATTCTCTAGGGGAACACTCCTTTGTTGTCACCTCTTATCTGAAGGGACTGTATTCCAAGACCCCCAGCGGCTGCCTGAAACTGCAAATAGTACTGAACTCTATACATATTGTTCTTTTCCTCTACATACATACCTCTGATAAAGTTCATAAATAAGGCACAGTAAGAGAATATCCAGATTGCCAACATCACTACTCTCGCTCTTTGGGACCATTATGAAGTAAAATAAGGGTTACTTGAACACAGGCACTAGGATACTGTGGGTAACCGAGATGGCTACTAAGTGAATAACGGGAAGGAAACGCTGAACTACGGGGTGATTCATGTCCCTGCCGGGATGGAGTGGGACGCCGAGAGATTTCATCATGCTCCTTAGGATGGCGCACAATTTAAAACTTATGAATGGTTTATTTCTGGAATTTTCCATTTAATATTTTTGGAGTGCGATTGACCAGGGGTAACTGAAACCACAGAAAAGTGAAACTGCAGATAAGCAGGATGACTGTCTTTACTATTGATTTAGAGCCTGGACTCTGTGAAGTTACATGACAACATGTGGATTTTTTCCCTCAGTAGCTAATCAAGTTATATCTGCTCTTAAAGATTACGGTTTTAGGGCTTCCCTGGTGGCGCAGTGGTTGGGAGTCCGCCTGCCAATGCAGGGGACGCGGGTTCGTGCCCCGGTTCGGGAAGATCCCACATGCCGCGGAGTGGCTGGGCCCGTGAGCCATGGCCGCTGAGCCTGCGCGTCCGGAGCCTGTGCTCCGCAACGGGAGAGGCCACAACAGTGACAGGCCCGCGAACCAAAAAAAAAAAAAAAAAAAAAAAGATTACGGTTTTATTCTCTGCAAGATAGGAACCATCTTTTTATCTAAACTAGCAGCCTTCCTTCCTTGTTCTCTCAGTGCATGTACACTCAGTCTCTCAAATTCACTTTCATTTAGTTTTATCATCTAGCTGGTTCCCTCAGTGATGAGTTAAATAAATCTTTCATGTGTGCTTAGTTTAGATTTGTATGAGAATCAAGTTTTTAATATTTTTGAAATACTTTGACTGTGGCTGTATATTGGAGGTAGGTTTATAAGAGATTTCAGTGTTCTTCCTTACATCCTTCCATATTTGTCAAACATCCATGAAAGGACATGTTTCACTTTTATAAAGAAAGCACAAAATGTATGTGTATACGTGTATACGTACATTCTAAGTTGATTTTTCAGTCCATACTTGACCTGGTCCTATACCCAGTGAAGGGCTTACTTCCCCGATGATTTCCAAACGTGGCTTTGCAACTGACAGGGCAGACTCTGACTCCAGGGGACAAGAAAAGGCGTTATTATGCTCCCAGAAAACTAATCTGTGTTGCTGGATAAGTACAGGTAGATTGATAAAATCCATTTCCACTGTCAGCTGAGCTGGACGGGGAACAAACTTCTTTAGTGGGAGCTGAGGACAAGTGCCTGAGTAAGGACACGCCCCCTCCCGCCCCCTTCATCAATGGAAACGAGTCAGAGTCCTGAATGAGGGACAGGAAGCACAGGAAGGTCTGAAATGTGAGACCCAGGGGAAGACAGAGAGGACCACAGGAGGAAAGGGGGCCAAGCATGAGAAAGAGCGGGAGGCAGCAGACTGGAGGGGGAGCCTGCGGAGACCCCAGTGCCCCCTTGTAGACTGGGAAGGGAGCTGGTTCAGGCTAGTCTGTTGCACCCACACTCTGAATTTATCTTTCATCTTCCCCTCCCGACTTCACCTCGTTTCCAACCCCATAGCCATGCAGCTGACATGACTGTGGTCGCTGGTATTTGCTTAGAAATGCACATGAGAATTTCTGGCAGTTTCTTACTTTTGTTGCTCTCCTTTGCCTAATTCATTGACTATTGGAAACAATTCTTAGTGAAAAATCCAGATTCGAGTGCTTTAAATGCTGTCTTCCTGCAGAGACAGCTGCCTCACTCAATAATAACCTAGGAACAGAGGTGCTGTCATCCACTGGGCTCTGTGGTACGTATTCTGGCCTGGAGACACCACCTAGACAGCGACCACCTGATTTCTCATTGTCACTAAGGCCAGGACTGATAACACATCTGTTTTCTTGGTTCTGTCACGTCAGAAACCATATCAGAGAAAAAGCCACATCCCTAAAACTAGAACATAAATTACACCGAGGCAGGCGAGAAGGTCTTTGCTGCCCCCTGTTGGTGGGATCCTACTAACCCCTAACATTTTATTTCAAACATTTAAGCAATATGCTACTTGGTTTCCGTATTTTTACTCTTTGAGAGTTCTGGTCCTGGTTTTGCCACCTATTCGCTGTGAGACCTTGTTGAAATAATTAAATTTATTTGGACCTCAACCCTCCTCACCTATACCACAAGCTTATTAGTCTCTTTCAATGATAGGATTTGTGGTGCTAAGGATCCTAGGTTTTTAGAACTTTTACAGAAGATGGATAAGAAACTAGTGCAATGACCTAAAGCCCTCTAATGATGCAGATCAACATCTAATCTGTTATTACTGTTTGCACCTAGGCATGTGTAAAATATTTGCTGCAAACTCTATTTTTATTATGTTGAATCCAATTCAAGATAAAAATAACTGAAACAGATGAAAGTGGACATCATAAACTTCATAATCTTATACCTTTCTAACGACAGAAATGAAAACAGAAACTAGGACTTGATCTGGTTTAAGGCTTGCATGTGTTTCTCCAGAAAGAAAATGATCGTTTAAAGGAATTTACTGCGTTCCTTCTTGTTGGGGAGTGGGGGAAGAAGCATTAATTTTAGGCACCATATACTACTGAAACAACCTTATACTTTATTAATCCAGTAGTATTCTTATTATAAAAAGGCATTCTAAAGTTAAAATGAAATTGAAAATAGCCACACATAGTATCGTGACTCTCCCATGATATGGAGAGTCATGATATGGGATATATCCAGATGTATCTAGGGACCCTGCCCTGGAGAAAAAGCTTTCCACCTGTGCTAACAGAGCAAGACTCCTCCAGCTTACGGGAAGCACTCTGCCGAGGCTACAAGGGGGCAATTTATTGGGCAGAAGGGTCTGAGTCAGTGAGTAAATGTGACAGTGGCAGACAGATGGTATACTGTGGGAGAGAGCATGTGGGAGAGTTTGAAGAGCTGAAATATCTTGAGAGGGTCAGTGGTAAACACAGGTATGTTACTCACAAGAACAGTGACATCAACAAATAAAATCCAAATGACAGCGATAACATCAATCAATGAAAGACAGCCATAGAGGCATGTGATTATTTTCAATCCAAATCCTGAACTGTAGACGTGCAACTAAATATTACTCCCCTGGAAGCAGTCTCCTTGGGAGAGACCACACGCTTATCTCAAGAGTGCTGTCCTCCTCAAGACATTTGGGGAGCCCTCTGGGAGGGATGTTCTTTCAAAGCCTGTGGCCTCTGTGGCAATAAATGTTTATCCTTTGAAGGGGGTTTGCTTCATGGTAGGAGGTAAAAGACATTCAAAAGCCAGCGTGATGGATAAGGCAGAGGGTCAGATTGGCTAAAACATTTTTTGGTCCAAAGTCAAGTAAAGGGCTTTCCTGGTGGTGCAGTGGTGAAGAGTCTGCCAGACAATGCAGGGGACACAGGTTTGAGCCCTGCTCCAGGAAGATCCCACATGCCGTGGAGCAATTAAGCCCGTGCACCACAACTACTGAAGCCCGCGTGCCTACAGCCTGTGCTCCACAACGAGAGAAGCCACCGCAATGAGAAGCCTGCGCACTGCGGCGAGGAGTGGGCCCCGCTCACTGCAGCTGGAGAGGGCCCGTGCGCAGCGGCGAAGACCCAACGCAGCCAAAGGTAAATAAATAAATTTTAAAAAACGAGAAAAAGTTATTTAAAAAAAAAAAGTAAAAAGAGACCTATTTTTCTCGTGTAGTTTGTAAACCAAAATGTGTTCTGTTTTGTCTTCAGTTTCACCACAGAGGGGCACTTCCCCAGGCCGGTCCTGTGGGAACTTCCGTTTCCAATTAATTTACCTGACAAGGTCAGTATAAATCTAGGTATTTTATAGTCAATAGGCTCTTGACACCATGAAAGATGTCTTGTGATCCTCATGAATCCTCTTCTGGGGATTCCACTATAGTTAAAATTGTTCCCGGTGAAGCACTATTGAACCCTTCCCATGGCTGCAGTACAGATGCAGGCAGCCCAGAGCTGACAAGGAACGAGGGCGTCAGGTGTGAGTGAGGGCAGAGTAACGATGGCCCGTGGGCAACACACAGTCACAACCTTCCTTCTGGGGAAGCTGCCCCCCAGGGAAGGCCATGGATGAGGATTCCATCTTTGAAGAATTCACTTTGAACACTGGACTGCAGATAGACTGAGATTACCATCAGTGGTTAAAGGCCCTCACAGAGAGAGACAGCCGTTCTAACTCAAGCAGCTAGAATGTGAACAGAACAGGATCCCGAGGAAGCCAACAGAAACACAAAGCCCCAGCATTCAAAGAGGGGTGTTTAGACTGGGCTGCAGGCACAACCCAACAATTCTTTCATACAGAGACACTGAGGGCTAACAAGGATAACTCTGTGGTATGTTAGTTATATGTAGATTATAGTTTATAGTTAATAATTTATAGCTATATATGACATATTATAGTTGCTATAATATAGAATTACCCTAAAAGGTTGAATAAATTGTGTCATTCTCATTCACATTGATTACCAGTTCAGTTGCTCTCAACGAATCCATTAGTTGTCTTTTTAAATCTCCTTTGGGGGCTGTTAACATAGGCTTTCTGGATGGGATAGACCCTCAACAGACAATGGCAGACAGGGCCTGGGTGGGGGGACCAGGAAGGCAGCACCCACCTCCCTTAGAACCTGGTCATTCAAGTGGCTTATGCCACGAAGATCTGAAATTAAGTAGTCCGTCTGATTTGGCCTTGTGGAAGCACAGATGGATGTAGCAGGAAACGGCAGCAATACTGAGTGACACAACCTTTCCTCACTAAGGTACCCACACCCGGAGGTGGGCCAAGAGAACACAGAGCCATGATCTGCTGTGAAGCCCAGGTTCTCAAGTGACTCACCGCTGTGTTTTCGCCTCTGGGAGCTGTGTGGCGGCCTCTCCCAGGCTGTCCTGCCCAAAAGCGAGATATCGTCATTCAGATTCTGTAAGCCTGGAAAAGAAGGCGAGTAGGGAAAGAAGGCTCCAGTGGACATATGGTGACAACTTTTTCGTTCGTAAATGTCCCATTTTTCTGATTATTAAAGTAACATATACTCATTTTGGACCATCTTGTAAATACAGAAAGTAAGAAAAAGAGAGTCAAAATAGCTTAGAACCCCTGAAAAAATATGGACGGAAACCATTAGAACCCTTTCTTGCTCCACAAAGTCGGCGCTCCCTCCCGGGTGATGGGTCCATCTCCAGCCTCTCCCCTCGTGGTCCAGCAGCAGCACGTTTTCCATCTCCAGCCCCTGGCATGCGCTGCGCTCATCCTCTTTACCTGGTTATCCCCACTTACCCTTTGATCTCAGCTAGGAGAAGCCTTCTCTAACTCCCCTATAAAATCGGTCCTCCTGTTATCTCTTCCCCTAACACCATGCACCTCTCCTTTGGAGCACTTGTCCAGTTGAAATTTTAGTTTGTGTGATTATTTGTTTGACATCTATCTTCATGCTTAAACTGTAGGTTTTGTGAGGGTGGCGTCCATGCCTTTTTTTTTTAAAGACCATTGTATCCCAGTGCCTAGCACAATGCTTGCTTGCTTCCTCGTCTAACTTGACCAAACCCTCCCCATCTTTAAGGTTAAGCCTGAATTCCACACCCTTTCCCTGTGCCTTCAGTAATTCTCTCTTTCTCTCATTTCCTACTAATTTGTATCCAGTTCTACATGACTGGCACGGAATCGTTCTCTAAATGGGTCACATTCCTAGGTGACGCTTTCAGCAAGTGCTAACCTGACTTCCTGCTTCCCTCTCTTCCTCCACCCATTAACAAATATTCCTGTGCACCTACTGTGTGCCTGGCACTGTTCTAGGGCCGAGAGCAGACAAGTTCTTCTCTAACAGGAAGCCAGCATTTTAGCAGGGGAAGACAGCCATCACCAGATCAATGAATAAATAAGGACAGTAATTTCAGATATGATTGAGTGCTGTGAAGAACCAAAGCCAGGTAGTAGGGTAGGTGTGAGAACAGGGGCTTGTAAACACTTCCTGGTGATTCCAGCAATGGTGGTTATAAAGCGTCACCATGCAGGAGTGAGGTTTAGGGGGAAAAATCTCAACTAACGAATCTCTACCTTGTAAATTACTCTCCTCCACCTTTCCATTCCATCCCATATTATAGTCGTGATTTTTAAAAAGGAAAATATTTTTTTCACTTCATAATTGCTTGTTTATAAGAATTTTCTGGCATCACAGGCACTGCACAAATTCTGTTTCATACAATAATTCACTCAGCAGAGGGAGCTCATGCTTTAATTTTGGGAAGTTGGACAGAAAGCAAGATTCTTTAAAAAGAACCTGAAATAAATGCTGCAACTCTCATTTTAAATAAGGTTTTCTTTGAGTACTTCTTGGAGCTAAGACCATTTGACTAATACATAAATAGATGTGACTGATGAATTCATTTTGGGGAAGAATTTTCTTTAATAAGGTTCTGTTTTACATATCAAATAGGCTAATTTAGAACAGGTATCCCAGCTCAGGAGTCTAAGGATTCATCTAGAAAGAAGACAGCTGTCCACTTGTCCACCTTTCTGTTAAATTGCACTCTGAACTCAGAACATGAACTTATTTGACTCATTCTAACATGACTGTGATTTGACACTGAATGTGTGCATGTTGAGGTCCCTGCCTTTGAAATTATAAAACAGATATTTATTTAGACTTCAAAGAATGTTTACTACAACATGAGCCAAGGTCAAAGGCAGAGTGAAGATTGAGAGAATGAGTTAATCTCTTAAAGAGCCAGAACCATGAAGTTGACTCAGCAGTTCTGAAACCACAGGTGAAATCAGCAGCAGTAACAGCTGGGGTTTTGTGTGTGTAAACTACAATTTTCAGTTTCCCAGAGGACTACCATAATGACAGAAAAGGTGTATTAGGTAGACTTTCTCTTACTGTACATATCTGATTAGTAATTCTGCATTCTAATTCTCATTTCTACAAGATAGAAAGCAACATTTAAAAACACACTGTCTTATTAGCAAAGTCAAACATTTATTAATAGAAAATTGAGGAAAAAAACATTAAGAAGAGCATAAAAAACACAAGATATTTATTTTAGATTAGCACTTGCAACTTTATATCTAGCTTTAAAATTAATGTATGCAGTGTGGGGTTATTTTGCTCTGTTTTTAAAATTGACGTATAGTTGATTTACAATGTTGTATTAATTTCTGCTGTATAGCAAAGGGATTCAGTTGTACATATATATATATATATATATATATATACATTCTTTTTTATATATTCTTTTCCATTATGGTTTATCATAGGATACTGAATATAGTTCTCTGTGCTATACAGTAGGACCTAGTTGTTTATCCATTCCATATATAATAGCTTACGTCTGCTAACCCCAACTCCCCACTCCATCCCTCCCCCAACCCCCTCCCCCTCGGCAACCACAAGTCTGTTCTCTATGTCGGTGAGTCTATTTCTGTTTCATATGTATGCAGTGTTTAAAATGGTTATTTATTTTTGTCTTTTCCTCACTTAAAAATCCCCAAATTCTCCTTCATTAAAATTTAAAAATCGCCTTAACTGGGCTAATCCAAAAACAGTACAATTTTGAAAGCATCCCTTAGATTGTAGAGGAAGATTCCACTGATGAAAAAGAAAATATTGGGAATTCCTTGGCGGTCCAGTGGTTAGGACTCCATGCTTTCACGGCCTAGGGCCTGGGTTCAATCTAAGATCCTGCAAGCCGAGTGGTACAGCCAAATAGTATCACACTTATCGCTCTTTTTCTACGTCTATCTTTCCCACAATACGATGAGTTCCTAGAGAAGAAATCATGTCTTTTTCATTATTTAGCAGCATATAGCCCAGTGCCTGGCACATGGTAAGTGCTTAATAACTATACAATTAGTAAACAAATGAGTGTTTTGGGATTGCATTGGGTCTTTGTTGCTGCGTGTGGGCTTTAGTTGCGGCGAGCGGGGGCCACTCTTCATTGTGGTGCGCGGGCTTCTCACTGCGGTGGCTTCTCTCGTTGCGGAGCATGGGCTCGAGGCGCAGGGTTCAGTAGTTGTGGCTCGCGGGCTCTAGAGCGCAGGCTCAGTAGTTGTGGTGCACGGGCTTAGTTGCTCCGCGGCATGTGGGATGTTCCCAGACCAGGGTTCGAACCCGTGTCCCCTGCGTTGGCAGGCGGCTTCTTAACCACTGCACCACCAGGGAAGTCCCCCAAATGAGTGTTTTAAAATGATTTTATTTTACCTGTACTTTTCACAGAGTAATATTGGTCTATGGGATTGAGTACAAAAAAATAAAAAGAAAGAATTGAGTTCTAAATAGTTAAAAAAAAAAAAGCCTCTCCTTGTTGGATACCTTTGGGACAGGCTGCTTGGAGAAGGGAAAGCTGAAGGAGTGAGGGCCTGGTGACTATTTTGACCTGTGAAAACACCACGGGCTGTTTAACAGGGAATGTGGTCGCTGTTGCCCTCTGCTGCTGGAGGGGAGAAACTCACTAAGCCTGCTTGAACAATGGAGGTAGCTAGGGCAGCTAGAGGAGTTTCTGGGTGAATCAGCAAATATTTGTTGAGCCACAGCTCTGTGTAGAAAACTGAGTCTGAAGAGAAAATGTACAAGAATGGGCATCAACAGAAAATCTACAGACAACAAATGCTGAAGAGGGTGTGGAGAAAAGGGAACCCTCTTGCACTGTTGGTGGGAATGTAAATTGATACAGCCACTATGGAGAACAGTATGGAGGTTCCTTAAAAAACTAAAACTAGAACTACCATACGACCCAGCAATCCCACTACTGGGCATATACCCTGAGAAAACCATAATTCAAAAAGAGTCATGTACCACAATGTTCATTGCAGCTCTATTTACAATAGCCAGGACATGGAAGCAACCTAAGTGTCCATCGACAGATGAACCGATAAAGAAGATGTGACACATATATACAATGGAATATTACTCAGCCATAAAAAGAAATGAAATTGGGTCATTTGTAGAGACATGGATGGATCTAGAGACTGTCATACAGAGTGAAGTAAGTCAGAAGGAGAAAAACAAATATTGTATATTAACGCATATATGTGGAACCTAGAAAAATGGTACAGGTGAACCGGTTTGCAGGGCAGAAATAGAGACACAGATGTAGAGAACACACATATGGACACCAAGGGGGGAAAGCGGTGGGGGTGGGGGTGGGGGTGGGATGAATTGGGAGATTGCGATTGACATGTATTCCCTGATATGTATAAAATAGATAACTAATAAGAACCTGCTATATAAAAAAATAAATAAAATTAAAAATTTTAAAAAGTTTAAAAAAAAAAAGAGAGACAATGTACAATCTTTACCAGGATTTTCTGAATTTTCGAAAGATCAGATGTGGTTGAGCATCACACTGGAAAGTATGATTTCTTCCAGCCTCATGATCCTGTGATTTGGTTAGTGGCGAGTAGCCTTAGCTTTCTTTAGCAGAACCATCTGTAACATAAGGGTCTCGTTATAATAAATGAGAACACACCTTTTGTCTTAGTCACTATAAATAATTCCAGCATCCTTGCAAGAGAGATAATAATTGGATGGAACATTTCCTTAAACTTTGTATCAGGCCCTTACAGGTAGGAGAATTATCATTAGTGGGAAAGAAGCCAGCTAGATTTCATGTTGCAAATAACACTGTGACCTAGAAGCAATTATCATAGGCCTAATAAGCAAAGTGAAATAAAACTGTGACAGATGAGGCTTGTTTTCGACCACATTCTAGAGTTGGACTGAGGTGGAATTGCTCTTTAGAAGCCAGAGATTTTAATTATATAACAAGCTGGCTATTAGTTGGGCAAAAGAGTGAGTTTGAATCGCCAGGTATGTATTTTGATTTGTGAGCAGATGCTGTGACACATCTTCTTCCATTAATTTTGATTTTCAATCAAAGTAGGAACTGTGGTGTCATTGCTGTCACCATCACAAGTGTTCCCCACAAGGGGAGCTTTAGGGTCCTTCATTTTCAGTCCCAGAGGTCATTTATGGTTCCTAGGGTGATCCAGGGGGTCCTCTCCCCATAGAAAGCCAGACATTTCTTTTTGGGCTCTTTTGCCAATCTCAGCAACAGATAAATTCAGACTTAATGCTGGTGTCAATGACAAACACACGGCCTTCATTAGAGCTTATAAACTGAACAAGATTTAATGGAACCCACCATGGATAACAAAACAAAGACAGATACTCATAGAACAGTAGCCTAATCACTTCACAATTAAATTCACTGCTTTGCATATTTATTTCTCCATCTCTTCTAGTTTAAAAAAAAAAAAACTAAGTGGATTTTAATTAAATCTTATCTTATAAACAAACAAGAATCTTATGTGCCAGGGATGAGATCTCTAATGTCAACTTCTCAACCGAAGAAATAATTGCTGGCTAAGTTACAAATGATAACAGAACATCAACAGAGAATTAACTGTGTGTGTGCTGGGAATGTGTGCTATTTATCATCAGGCAGGCTTGCAAAGTGCCAGAACACTGAGTCCATCAGGAAATGGGAGACCCAGGTTCTAAGCCCTGACTGACCACTAGGGAGCCAGGTGAATTTAGGAAAATCTCAGTGAGTCTCTAGGCTTGATTTTATCTGCAAATTAGGGATTTGACTAGAAGCTACTTTGGTTCTCAGAGGCCATACTTCTGTGAGGTAAGGCTGGCTGTGTGTTGAAACATGGTAAAAGAACAGAATGTCAGACTTTTTAAAGCCAGTAAGGACCTTCCTTTCACCGACCATCATTGTTTCCCAAGCAAGATTGAGGGGTTTTACAGCTACAGCGGAAAGTTGGACTTTTCTCAGTTAGCAGAAGTAAAGAGCAGAATTTTGTTAAAGTTTTCCTCCCATTTCGTTTCTCTAAAGCCAACGGCACTGCAAGTGAGAGTTGACAATAAGATGGAAAGAACAAGTAAATATTTATGAGGGTAATTTGCAAAGAGTAGATCATGCTTAATTGGGTGACCTTTTCTTTTCCTTTTTCTTCTTTTTAATGGACTTCTGTGCTTCCTGTTTTGACCTGGTACAGGGACCATATAATAAGTCATCTTTTCTAAGTCTGAAATAGTTCCTATTCCACTCAGCCTAACTAAATTTGCCACTATTTTATGATGTTCAGCAAAGAATATGGTGTTCAAGGAAAAGCCCTGGACTTCTGCTTGCTCCTGCACATGAGTGAATCTGAGAACCACTGGTCTAGTTTTATAGACGGGAATAACAATGAGGCTCAAAGAGGGGATGTGACCTAGTCAAGGAGACACCGATGGTTAATGTGAGCAGAACCATGAGCCCAAGGGCACCAGGCTCCCTGCCTGGAGTTCTCTAAAGTTGAAATGGTTCCATACATCTGGAAAAAACATGGTTTAAACAACTTTCGCTAGTTAAAAAAAATAAGGAAACCATTTCTCAAGGGAATTGAATTAATTTATTTGAAATTAAATTTGATGATACCTTTATAAAAATATTTTATGCAAAACTGTTTTGCTCTTTGTGGGAGCCATCAAAAGGGCAGATCTTTGGGTGGAGTTCTGTGTTTCCATAAATCATTTCACACTGAATAATTTCAACACTGAACAAAAATCATGGTGGAAGTTGCTTAACTGACTAAAGTGATGGAAATTGAACAGTAAAGGCAGATTGGCTAAAAGAGAATTTCTTTTCATAAGAATTCTGTAAATCTTGTCTTAAGTTATGTGTTTTGTCGGAAAGAATGACAGAGAGATGGAAGTTTCTGGGAACTGATTAAAAGCTCCAATTAATGAAACAATCTGTACGCTTGTCTCACCAGGTTGGGCCAGTGGTTCTCAGAGGATAGTCCATGGATTCCTTTCAGGGGTTCCAAGGTCAAAACTATTTTATAGTAATATTTACCCTCTTCCTTCTCATTCTCTCACGAGTTACACTGGAGCTTTCCAAAGGTTGCATCATGTGTGGTACAGCAACAGGCTGAATGTAGAAGCAGATATGCAAATCCAGCTGTCTTTTAAGCCAGTATTAAAGAGCTTTGCAAAAATTGTAAAACAATGCCACTCTTCTCACTGATTTCTCTTTGGAAAGATAGAGTTATTCTTCATGAACCATATGTTATTCATGCTAATGTGCAATGTGTTCACCCATGTTATTTTCTTTTTTTAAAAATTTTTATTGGAGTACAGTTGCTTTACAATTTGTGTTAGTTTCTACTGTACAGCAAAGT